CTCCGGCTACTTGCAGGTGTGCACGTCGTAGACTCGCGCGCACTCCTGGCAGCTGACGTAGCAGCACCAGTGGAAGATGCAGTGACACTTCTCCTTGCGCCGCTCGGTCCGGGTGTTGTGGCCGCGGCCGCAGCACAGCAGGTCGCAGCCGTCGATCCCGTGGGAGGTGACGTTGCACGTCCTGTCCCTCGTCCCAAAGGAGCCCGTCTCGGGGTTGGGCTCACAGAAGTTGGGGGAGTTCTCATAGTAGACCAGGTCCCTCTCTGTGGGAGGCTTGAAGAGGGCGTACTTGGCCCTGAGAGTTTCCACCCACCCGCGGGACTCACGGTGCTTCTCCACCACCATCTCGGAGGCACTGTCGTACTTGTCCTTCAGGTAGTCCCCGATGGCCCTGAAGTCAGGCTGGGCCCACCAGCAGGTCTTGACCTCACAGCTCCCCGAGAGCCCGTGGCACTTGCACTTGAGGTGCATGTGATCCAGGATGGTCTGTCAGGGAGGGAACACGGAGTCAGCGGCAGCGTGTGGAGCTCAGCCTTGGCTTCCATCCCCTGCTTTGGCCACCTGGGGTTAAAGCTCTGAGCTCTGTCTGGGAAGTGTGGGCTGGTTGGAAATGCTGGGGGGCTTGGCTGGGACAGAAGGGTCTCCAGGTGGAAATGGATATAAATTGAAAGGGGAAATTAAGATTACGTATTGCATCAGGGGGAGAACCTCTGGCAGGAGGTTGGAAGTGTCAAGGGGATGGTGGTGAGGAGGGGAAAAACCTTCCTAGGCTGGAAAAGCCTTGAGCAACCTGCTCTGGTGGGAGGGGTCCCTACCCAGGGCAGGGGTTGGGGCTGGATGGGTTTTAACCTTCTAACCCAACCCATTCCAGGATTCTCTTTGCACTGGATGCATGTTTGGGCTCTCCCAAGCCCTCACCCACCTGTGTGGAGAGAGTGGAAATGCTGTGCCTTGGACAAGAGTCCTAGCAACCCCTGCCTGGGAACGTCTGCTCCGGGGACATCAGCAGGAGCCACACACGGACAGGTATGGACACCCGTCCCCGTCCCCCGTGCACTCACCGTCCGTCCGGCCTCGTTGTTGTGCCTGTTCATGGCCGAGCGCGC